GAAGGAGAAGGAGAAGGAGAAGGAGAAGGAGAAGGAGAAGAAGGAGAGCAGCAAACCTTTGGGCGATTATCTATCATCACAGTATCCTTGAAGGCTCCTCTATTTTGATTCCTAAATTTTATGCTTTCCCTCTTTCCTCTTTGATCATCAGTTCACTCTGAAGCAACCTCAAGATACAGTTCATTCATTATTCTATTGTTATTAAGCATAATATTCTGGGTGTTCTAAAATAAGTTGGTGATTCAAATTATTGCTAGGTTTGGACAATTTTAACTTCTCATTTTAACATCCTATTTTCATTTTCCCCTGTATTCTTCTTCTCTGGTAAGTTCAACCATAATGACAATGATATCATTATCATACATGCTTAATGATTTTGTTGATTCTTTATTGCGATAGAGAATGGGAAAATAATTGATATTCCTCTGATTATTCTAGTATTATTTATGCAGAATGAGACCATAATGTGGTCTATCTTTTGTTTATTGTATTTGGATGTATGTTTTGGCTATCTCTATAAATATAGATTATGTTCAAATCAAGCCATTAATTGTTATAAATCCTTGCTCATATGTAAGTATGGTTTATAAGAATATACCTTATAACTGGCAGTACCCTCCCCATATTGCTTCAAAGAAGCAATTGAAGAATTACATGCAAAAGTCTAGTCACTTAAAATCTCACCTCCCCCAAAAAATCACATTGAGGTATTGTAAATTTTTCTGCCATCCAATTATAATTACATACAAAAAGAATTATATTTCTCACCTATTTTTCTCAGCTATATAAATTCACAAATCAAAGAATTATTGCAATTTAGTATAATATTAATAAAAATTACTTATAAAAATACATTTTAAAATGTTATTTTACTTTGATTTGTAATTTTTTTTTTTTTTTTTTGGAAAACAGAACCCATTTTTCCTTGTAAGGTTCCAGAAACATCACTTGCTGATTTGTTTATTTCATACATTAAAATTATTACAGATGATGTTCCCCAAGAGTACACATGGAAAACTTTTTCATTTATATGGTAACAGTCCCAACTGAATGTTCATTTAAAGTAATATTCTCCCATCTAAAAATAGCTGATGTGTTCTTTCTTTGTCTATGCATACACCTCAGCATACAGAGAGAGGAAATTTTGAACCTCCCTTCCCTGAGCTCCAATCTGTCTCCCCTGCCAGTCAGCAAGATGTGGGAGAACACATGATTGAAATGGAGAAAATAATATGTTGTATTATCTACCCCATTTGGACTGTCAACCAACTAACCAGTTATTTGGTGAGCTGGCAGATCCCAATTGTCCTGGGATAAGAAGATACTCAAACAGCATCCCTACTCATGCCATTTCCATTACCCAATTGTGGTGATAGAGATTGGAATTTGAAACAGCAGGACAGCAGTAAAAATAGAAATCTGAGATAAGACATATATGCAGCCCATGTTCTGGCTATACATATTCTCATATTGCACAATTAATAAGATAATATGGTAAAGGTTTATATTACTTTGGCAATTAAATAAGAAATGCTAATTACTTTAACAATACTGAGCAATTTCTCCAGGTTTCAGAAATAGATTTCTATTTTTATTTCAAATGCACACTACTCTTTCCAATTTACATATGCTCAAACAATAGGATGAATGTTGCAGTTTAAGATTAATATAATTAATATAAATAATTATATATTAAAATTTTAATTAATATGTTACTTTAATCTGGATCTAATTAGTGGGTAAAAAACAAAACAGGTTTCTTATTCACATAATGGCAATTAGAGAGTACAAAAATTAGACTTCTGTTGATCTATACCTATGACACTTATGCAGACAGTAAATATACTGTACCTAAAAGGAAAGTTAACTCCCCACCCCCCAACAAACTTACCTTTAAAATGGGAAGGTTGTCTCTGTTTTGTTAATGGAGGCAAGCAAGGTTATCTTGCTTACTATTCCTTGGGTTGGGGAGAACTATAATCCTAAATTCAGGACTGCTTTTCTTTAGGTATATATGGCAGTATATTATATAAAACCTGACATTTATTATATTCTTGCACTTTTGCTGAATCACGGTTAAAACTTGTATCACAAATTAAATGATAAAAGAAAGACAATTAATGAAGATAAAGAAAATGCCACTAACCCCCAACATGAACCATTCCTCTGCTTTTCTTTGAGTTCTTGCTTGTCTTTACAGCAGGTAATGTCTTTTCTTTAAATTGAAGCTCACAAAACATGTCAAGAAGAATAGCAATTTCTTCAGTGAAGGTATTCAAATAAGTTTCATTAATAAATTTCAATACTGAAGAAGAATCGGTAATTCCACTTAGTATATATAAATCTTCTTTTATCATTGCACTGAAGGCAGGAATTGAACTTTTATAATTATGAACAACCTTTTCAAAGTTCATTTCATCATTCTTATCCTGAACACATTTCTGCAAAAGATCTCTAACCAATTTATTCTGCATTTTTTGATACTTGACTAGAACTTCAGATTCAGGATAAAGAAAAAACAGTCGCTGGAGACACCGAGTTTTAAATTGCAGTTGATGTTGTAAAGTACCAGTTTTTGTTTCTTGATTAGTTTGTAATTGGTTTACTAAGAAGCGTCGAAGATGTAATCTTATATCATCCCAAATACAGTGAACGTCTACTGCTGTATCATCTTCAATACCATGAATGGAACTACTGGATATAAATTCAAAAGATGCTCCACTTGGAGTACGGGGAAATAAGACACCACACTGACTGGAGAGTTCAAGGAGAAACTGAAGAATTATTTCTTCCTGATTTAGTTCATTCTTCAATAAACTTTGCTATGAAAGGATAATTGATAGATGTTACATGTAAGGTATTAAGTTACATGTATATTTAAAGTAAATAAGATTTCTCTTCAAAATAAAGCTTCTTCATTATCTCTTAAGATCTAGAAAATATCTTTCCAATACATACATCTCATTTTTATTTTGCCAGTTCAAACAAGCTTTAAGTATGTATATTATATACATTCCATATTAAAAACTTCCAGGCTCTCTTTGATGGATATTTGTAAAAAAAAAAAACAAGTTCCCCTCATCTACTTAAATCAGCCCATCTGGTATGTTCTTTTCATGAGAACTTTGGGTTGTACCCCACTTTCATAAGGTAAGGGAAATGGAGGCCAGGAGGCACTGTTTTTCAGTCACTGCTCTGGCCTTATGAAATATCCTCCCCTTGGAACTAAGACTCGCACCATCCCTCTTAATGTTCTGAAAGCTGATTAAGATGGAACTTGTCCATAGAACATCGGATGACTAGTTGTCACTGTTTTTTAACTTCAACTAATACGCTGCATGTTTTATCTTGTATTTTGGTTATTTATTTTTTCATTATTATTATTCTATACTGTATTGCTTACAATTTTGACTTTAATAATGTTTACTGCGGACATTTTAATGAGTCATGTTTTACTGGATTACTGTAAACTGCCATGTCTTTTTGATCTGGCTGTATACAGATTAAATAAATAAGAAAAAACTAGACTGAAAAATTCCTAAATAAGTGTCAAGTCTTAAAAACTGTAAATAGATATATTATATAAATGCATCAAAATGTTCTGACATAGTATCCACACTCAATTGCACAGGTGTATAACACTGTCTTGATGCAAGTTTTTAAAAAACTGATTACCCTTCCAGAATTTTAAAGGTTTAAATACAATTGCTAAAGGTGAAGTTACAAAAAATAAAAATGCAAATACGCATTTAAAAATGTAAATTGTACTGTTTGAAAAGCTACAATGTCAGGTATACATGACTGTATTCTTAAATGTGATGGTATAATGATCACTCTCCCAGACAAGCCAACTTTGTCCCATTAATGACACAAAAGCTGCGAGAAAGTTAACATTTCATGTTCAGAGTGTAATTGCCATGAAAATTGGAAGAAAAATCTGAATTTGACTATTTAAATTATTATAACTATTTTCTACAACTAAAAGGTAATACTTTCTCATTTATTCTAATCACAGCATAGGTATTATTAGCAGACTAGTCATTTGCATGTGCATGTATAAAAACAAAAATTCCAACTTATAAAAATAACTGTAACTCATAAGAGTTAGAAAGAAACCTGAAGAAAATGAGATGATTTACCCAATTTATTTTGTTAGCAAACAATATTGGTCTTCTGACTATGAAAGCAAGAAGAGATATTCTAGAAATCAAAAATATGTTTGACTTATTTCCATGTGTTCACCTGGATCATAAAACTATTAGTTCATATACTGTATCTAGCCATCTAAATCAAATACATCAAGGAAAATAACATAAAAATAGATGCTACCATAATCTAAACATTGCCATTGTTTGAATAAAACCTGTGGAACAGCATCAGTTATCCACTGCTATTAAAATAATTCAGTTTTATTTTATGTACTGTGCTGCTTTTTAAAAAACATTTTCACCCAAATTTCTGGAAAATGTCTTATTCTACAACAGCTAAAATAGTACAACATTAACTAATATGCTACTATTAGTATTACACTAATATTACATGGACATATTTTCATGCTTGGAACAGATCTTCTGAAATCAATGAGACAACTGAACTGGCTCAGACCAGTTGATGCCCCAACTCACACTGGAGGTAACATGTTAAATCTGGTCTTTGTCTTGGGAAAGTGGTCACATGATCTGGAGTTGGGGGATATAATATTAGTCCCTTGTCATGGACAGATCCTGTTAGCCTTGGGGTTCTCTATGGCCACTCCCCATTGCTGGCAGGAAGGAATTATTTGGTCAGTCCATCCCAAGCACGTGATGGACTTGGTTAGGATTCCAGAAGGAAGGTTCTGAAGCTCTTCTGCCTGGCTCAACTGAGGCCTTAGTTGCTACTTGATTTGCAGAGGAATTTTGGGAGATGAAACAACACAAAAGATACCAGGAGCATTGGCTAAGAAAGACAAAGGGCAATTCCAGTCAGTGACAGGTAAGAACCTTTATTAGGAACTATCTTGTGGCAATAAGAGTGGTGAAACCTACTTACTTCTCTGCTCTTATTGTGTTTGCAGAACCCAGCCAACAGCCCTATTTCAGGTGACTCGGTCATACCTGGGTAGGAAAGAGCTGGGAAAGTCTCTGAAGGGTCTCTGTGAGAATTATTCTCAGCATGTGTCAAATAAAATTGCTTAGAGTTGGATTTTGGCTATCAGGTCTTACGGAATTGGCTGAGGCTAAATTATTTAGGGAGAGTTTGACCCCACTGGTCTTGAGGAAGTGGACAGGGCCCTTCTAGCTTTGAGCCCTGCCATCTGTGGTTTAGACCCATATCCTTCCTGGTTGATTAAGGCCCCCAGGGAGATATGTTGTTGAGTCCAGGCAGACATTAATGCCTTCTTGTGGGAGGGGATGATGCCACCTCCTTTGAAGAAATCGGTAATTCGATCTCTCCCCAAGAGGCCACTGCTGGATCCAACAGTTCTTGACAATTTTCATCCAGTCTCCAATCTTTCCTTGGAAGGGCCCTGGGAGAAATGGTTATCAGGACCCTTTTCAGTCCAGCTTCAGTCCAGGGTTTAATGCTGAGACAGCATTGGTTACCTTGTGGATGACCTGTCTCTGTCCTGGTCCTTCTTGATCTCTTGATGGCTTTATTGATGGATTAACTATGGTACACTTCTGAACCAGCTTAGAGGGTTGGGAATGAGGGATATTGTGCTTCATTGGTTCTCCTCCTTTCTCTGAGGTCAGTTCTAGTCAGTGTTGAGGCAGGGGTGAAGTCTAGCCATAGGTCCCTGTTTTGCAGGGTGCCCCAGGCTCAACTCTGTTCCCCACTCCTATTTAACATTTACATGAAGCCATTGAGTCAGGTCATTTGTCCTTATGGGATTGAGTATCATGAGCATTATGTTCTTAACCAATTACAAATTTAGTCTTAACTAGAACAGATTAAAATATGGGCAGTCTGGATAAAAACAACTGATTGCATCAAACAGTGTTGATGTGCTCTCAGAACATAAAGTACTGAACTGAAAAATCCACATGACTCCAAAATCTGCCCCTTAAGGTTGAGAATCTTATAACCAAAGTGTCCAAAATTCCACAGTGCTTTGTAAAACACATAAAATACTGCAATTTTTAAATTCAATTGCATTTTATACTAGCAAATAGCAATTAAATTCCAAAACAAGGACAAGTGTAGAATGAAACTATTTTCTATCATAACATAAAATAGTAGGATTTTCACCAGTGTTTGGAGGAACTTGATTAATTCTCCTTGAGGGGTTGAAGAAAGTTTGGTTGAACTGAAATCATAGTTATTTAGCCAATGAAGATAACTGGTCGTGTCCTGTAGCAACTCATCAGAACAAGTTTCATTTAATTCAAGTTGTAGTTCCTTAAGACATTGATCCATGCTAAAACAAAAAGGAAAGTAAATATTTTCACTATTTTAATATATTATCTATTTTCTGCAGAATATCAACATTTTATGTCATCCTATGATATCATCACTTAATTTGTCAAAAAACAAAACTAATATCACTGCCTTATAATTTTCAAAACAACTAGCTATATTTGTGTAAGCTAATCATTCAAACCTGAGCCCTCCTAGATGCCTGGACTTCAACTCCCAGAATTCAGTATGGCCATTTTGGGGGGGAAACTGATGTAAGCAATGTTTGTGCATCCTAGGAGTATCATGTGGAAATATTTGCATAGAAAGGTAGCATGGATTACAACAGCATCACCATATTACTACCTTACCCAGGGCTGATTTCATGCCAGAGGCTCAGAAAATGCAGTGCCTATATTCCAAATAAATAAACAGTTAATTACCATGTTTGTATAAGCCTACCTTATTGGTCTGTGACATCTGTGCTAATCTGTCATGCTTCAGAAACTACTCTAGCTTGAATCAAAGAGGCTATGCATGCACAGTTTTGCAGAGTTAGCCAGGAGTAGCTTCTAAAGCAGCCATGTGAGCCTTACAAAAATCTGGTTGTTCTAACAATTTGAAAAGAGATGCATCATTTGTGTTCCCACATGTTACAAAGAACCTTTCTGAAATGCTCTGTAGAGCTCATAAACAAATAAGCAACACTTCAGTAGCTAGACTACATACTGATAGATGAATTATACAAATACAATAATTAGAAACCACTCAGAGAACTCTTGTCACTAGGTTACATACAATATTGAAAAAATAAAATAGCTTACCCTGAAGCATTTTTCTTTATTTTCTCATCAATGTCACCAAGTATCTGTTGAAACTCCAGATTTCCAGGAAATATGTTTAACAAACAATCCAAGTTCAAAGAATCAAGAGAAAAATCACATCCCTGCTCCATTTCTAAATTCCAGACAATAAAAATAGAAAATAAATAAAATGTCCACCTCCCTTTGATTGCTGATATAGATATAAAAACTTGATTGCAAAATTGCTAACAAGTAAAAAACATGGAAATACCTTCATTAGGCTTCTCTTTCCCTTGGTGGTTTGGGTTTTTGTTTTTTTGGCAGCAACTTTTCCACCTGTCTACAGATAGGAAAAACAGGCTACTTACCCCTAACTCCAGATTTTTTTAGCAGTCACATGTGAATTTACACAACTGGGTTCTGCATCTCTGCAGATTCCTCATTCAGCATCTTACAGAGCTGAGCTTTTGGGCAGAAGCATGTTTTTCTGATTATAGACCACAAGCACAAAGAACATAACTGCAGCTGGTGTTCTTACTAATCCCAACAAATATAGAGAACTTTTGGAACTTTCCAAAGAAAAAGTACAGTACTTGGCAGAAAACAACTTCCATGTTTCTACGGCCACTTGGAGAACTACTGTTACAGATAAGTGACCAGTATTTTCATGGTTGCTATGATTCACATATATTATTGAGTTGTAAATTTAATTGCCTGAAGAGACAGGTACTAAATGATATGAGGAAGGAAAGCATGATGTTGTCAAATTTAGCATCAATTATATAGATGTTGCCATTTATAAGACATAAGCCTGAGATGTGAAGCTGCCATGTTGCAGATAGTATATGGTAGACCAAATGACAAATGACACTGAATCTTGGGCTATTAGCGATTCCCATAAAGGTATTTAATAAACCTCATCCTTTGGGATTGAATATTTAACCATAAAGAACATATTTATGTCTAAAGAATGCACACTGTAATTTGAATTAAAGTGAGAAGCAGATGATAATGGAAAGCAAAGGAGAAAAACATATCATACCAAACTTCTATCAATATTCAATACAAGAGACAATGAACAGGTGCGGTAGGAAAAAAAAACCACTAATGTGTGAGAGCTGCTGATTGTATTAACTATACTTAATTAGATAGGCCAATAGCCAATAAAGTAACCTGGCAATATATCTTCTTTCAAGAGATCAGCCTTACTGGGTGAAAGAGGAAAATAATGTGCTTGAAAGGTAGCAGCTAATAATCCACAATATTAAGGCAGCTGTGCCAATGACCAAACATTCCATAAGTACTAGCACTGAAACCCTTTAACCAAGCCACTGTTGGTGATCTGTGGAGAACTAATTTCACATTTACCTTGCATATCATACTGCTTGACAACCAACTGCCCAGCTAGTTGGATGAAAATACATGTCAGAAGTAAATGCTAACAAAGGCAAATATTTAAAACAGTGTTATAACAGAAGTAAATTCCTTCTTAGCCCATCATGTTGCAGTTCAGAAACTTCCATAACAAAAGTGCAAATGCAGAAGTAAACATTCTGAGAGAAATAAGAAAAAAGACAAGAATATGTGAAAAGAATTTTAAAAAAATTAAGAGGATGAAGCCTAGTAGTAGTAGAAGTTGCAGCTAGTAACTTCTAAAACCCACAGTAGTGATTATAGGATTTACTTCAATACAAAACATCAGATATTAAGATTTCTCTCAGTAAATTGAACATTCGTGTTTATCTGTGTTACTGCTTTTCAGAACAATAACTTACCTGAATTAAAAAGAAGATCTGCAGTGAGCACAACACGCTTTGAGTTGGGTGCCAGTCAAGTGGAGGAATACAAGTACAAATTAACAAGCATATCCCAGGTACTGAAAGCACCGAAGTCACACATCCAGAGGCTTCCTGATCTGTCAAGTCACTCCAATGCCACGGGAAGTCAAATGTATCTACCGTTTGCAGAGATGTCTATAGTGATGATTGATATTTAGATCTTTCACTGGAATGAAGAATTGGTCAGATTGACTGATAATTATTTCTGTATCTTGAGAACAACATTGAAATGTTTTAATTTGTAAGAGGCGTTACATATTGTTTTGTTTAATATTTTATTTAAAGGAGGTAAAGCCACCAGTTACTGTAGGTGGTAATCTCCATTTCTGACTTGGCTCCCTTTGCTAGGTAGCCAGATCACTGAGGTTTCTTCAAAATGCTGATAATAAACACTATGTCTGTCTGTAATAAGACTACATACATACATTCACATACTAGTGAATGAACAGGCAGACTGGGGGTGTATTACTGAGACCTGACTGAGTGAAGGCAATGTTACCCTCTTAGAAATCTGCCTGCCTGGGTTTCGAATCCGTTTGCAACCTCAATTCCAGGGCTTGGGGTGGGGTAGGGTAATAACATTCATCCTTAAAGGCACCATATCTATAACCAAGGTCCTGTTCTGTAGATTCCCAAGTGTCACAAGTAGAAGTTGTATTAGTTTACCAGCGGCCCTGCTACCCAGTGGAATCCCTTTCTGAGCTCTTGGATGTGGTCTTGGGACTGCTGTTGGAAACTCCCTGTCTTTTGGTATTCAACCTTTATACTTAGAATTCATGGACTCAAAGGTCTTGTCTCAAGTAATTTTAAGCCCAGCCCATATAGGCAGACATATGTTAGATATTGTTTGCAATTGTGGAATTGGATAAGGGGGAAACTGTCACCGCTCATTTGCTGTAGACAGAACATTATCTTGTCTAGATCAGATGGATGAGTCCTTTGGAGTTGAGCGGCTATAACAAATTTAAATAATTATATAAAAATAAACAAACCACAATTTGTCCAGAAAGCAATGATATAATCACACCTGTATTTTGGGCCCTACACTGGCTCCTCAATAGTTTCCAGGTACAATTTAAAGTGCTGGTTTTAATCTACAAAGCCCTTCATGTCTTGGCACCTTGGTATCTCCAGGACCACATTCCCTAGCCAGAAATGACCTACCAACAAGATCATCACAGAGAAACTGCTGCTGATGTCTCAGTTCAGAGATTTGGGGGGGGGGGGGGGATTGCCAGAGGTGTTGTTTTCTGTTGCAGTACTGATCCTCTGAAATAGCCTCTTCACTGAGAGTAGGCTTGCCCCCTGACAACATTCAGGAAACAACTAAAGATGGAACTCTTCCACAGGCTTTCCTCTAGTACATGGACACCATGAGGTTTTTGGTTATTGTTTCATGTATTAAATGTTTTAAGTATTCTATCTTTAAAACTATCATGGATGTTTTCATATTGTACTTGAGTCCTATTACAATGGATATTTTATTGTTCCTTACGGTGGATGTTTCATGTTTTTGCTGTAAACCGCCATGAGTCAATTTGTTGAAATCAAGAGCATATAAGTTTAATAAATCAATCAATAAGCAAACAGGAAGGAAGAAGGATCCTTCTACAGAGCAGGAGTGGAGCAGAGGGAAGACATTTTCCCTCAACTTCTCAGAAAGCAAACTACTTTAGGGTGATTAGTCACAGGGGTGGGCCAACTGGAAGCAATTTAGTCCTTGAATAATCAGACTTAGACCTCCACCTTCCTCTTAAATGCTCCAATTGTATATGAACTAGTCACAAAGTTATCATTGTAATAAATGGAAAACCAGACTTGTGTTTACAAAAGGAAATTATGTCAGAGCAAGGAAGGTGATGGAATGGGAAAAACCACATGGATTAACTTTAAAGAGGCTATCACTTTATTGGGTATGGTTCCATAAACTGATAATGCAATGGCAGGGGCTAAGAAAACTGATAACCTAGTAAGCAAATGTATAAAATTAAGAGTGGCTAAAGACAAAAAAGCTATAAACTACAATATTCCCTATATACAGCATGCACAGCAACATTATACCAATGGCCAGAAATACCTTTCTAGTACTATTAAAAATAAAAGTATAACACATGAATATTCAAAATATAAATAATCAGAACTAACCCTTACTCAACATAGGCTAAAAATTGAGAACATATACGAATAACTTCTTAAGCAGCACTTCAATATTATGGTTTAGTTACAAGGTAACAAAACATAGAGATCAAAAGTTTATCCAAGGCTTATCATTTAACATATTTCTTATGTGAAAAGCCATTTTGTGAACATAGCAATTTAATTTCAATGTATGGAATTATTGTAAGATTTCTGTATCACGTTTGCTTAAATTAATTGTCAAAACATTGTATTTGCTTCTCTTAGGCTCACATGACTTATTCTGCTTTTGGGAATATAAATCTGAGTTTCTGAACATACCATTTCAAAATACTTTATTTTAAAATCTATATACTACTATAACTCTCATTGTGTTTATCTGTTTGTCTGTTTGTACCCTCAAGTTAGCCCAAATGGTGCATTATACCACAACAATTTTTGAATCAAGATAACTAAAATCCACTAACTTAAAGAATGTGTAAAAAATCTGGGACCCATTACTCCTGTAAATTGAAATTTCCACCATGTTCAGACCAGTTTTATTTGCAAAGTTGTGGCCACTGCAGGGTCCCTGTGGTCACATGATCATGATTTCCAATGCTCCCTGCCTGCTTCCCACAAGCAAAATCAATGGGGAAGCCAGAAGGAAGTCGGAAGTCACTCCTGCTCCCACTGCTTTTTTGCATGCCCATGGTCATTCTGTTTATCTGTTTAGGTAAGTAAATATTGACTTATTATTGAAGTTAGTTTGCCACTACAATTATTCTTCTATTTATGATATATACTCTTCTTAGATGATCACAGGACTGTCCAGCATTGGGGTATAAATAATATGGTCAGCCTAAAATTTAATGTTCATTCTGGTCACATCAGACTGCACTATTTTCTCTCAAAGGATGACCCTATGGGTCACAGGGTTGTCTAGTAATCAATAAATATTATCCAATACTTTCCCCATAACCTGCATGTACTGTACATATTCAGGAATTCCTCAAGCAAATTTTTATGTAACCGTAACTCATGCTCATAGAAATAAGGAATTTTTATCTGGAACTCTTAAGTTCAACTTTAAATAATATTAACTTGTATAATCTCTGCTTTAAATATAATTTTAGTCCTCCTAATTTTTCCTCTAGAAGCTACTTCAATTTTATCTTTTTCTGGATTTTATTTTCTGAAATTCTCAACTGCCCAAAAACTGTCAGCAAGACAGATTGGTATAAGAGAAAGGAGCCAAGATTTGCTACCAAAGTTAATTTAGACAAGAATTCGCAGTGGAACAGTAGATTACCAAAGACAGAGGCTATAGTAGAATGTTATAATGAAGTCTGTCACTGTAGCAGATAACCTGGACAGATGGGAACTGTGCAGTTTCACAATTTAGTCTAGAGTTTCAAACCACCAACTATCTAGGACGAGAGACAATATTTCCAAAACATTCTTTGAGCGGTCCAAAGATTTTAGGACATAAGAAATACATCTAATATGATTTAAAACCTGAAGCCATTATATTTACATATTAAATATAGGATATTCCCCTGATGCCCTGTCCCATCAACTAAATTTCATGTGAGAAAAAGCTGGTTCCATGTACTACAGCCTGAGAACTTTGCAGCTGTTCTGGGATCTAACTCTTTAGCTGAACAGATTCAGGCCCAACAGACTAAATGATTCATTTATGCAAGCCCAAATAAAGGAGTTGGACAGCCCTGGTCAACTCTCTGTTTGGAGACACTATACAGTAATACCTCGGTTCACGAATGCTTCTGTTCACGAACAATTCGGTTCACAAACAGCACTGTTCGCAAAATTTTGCTTCCGTTCGCGAACTCCACATCAGGTGACGAACACAACCCGCAGCCATCTTCCCTGCTCTGACACGTGGTCGTGGCTTCTTGTAGGCGAGGGGGACTCTCCCTCCAAATAATAACCACCTCCCCACCCGCCTTCCTGTCCTCCACGCCAGAAGTCACCTCAAGCAAGGTT